GCTCAATGTGTCCTAACTTTAGCCTTATTAACAGTATTTAGCTCAATGTATCCTAACTTTAGCCTTATTAACAGTATTTAGCTCAATGTGTCCTAACTTTAGAGCCTTATTCAGCCTCCCCTGAGCTAGCATGACACAGTGTTTCTCATTATCTAGACTCGGAGCTAGCATGACACAGTGTTTCTCATTATCTAGACTCGGAGCTAGCATGACACAGTGTCTCATTATCTAGACTCTGAGCTAGCATGACACAGTGTCTCATTATCTAGATTCTGAGCTAGCATGACAGTGTTTCTCATTATCTAGACTCTGAGCTAGCATGACAGTGTTTCTCATTATCCAGACTGAGCTAGCATGACAGTGTTTCTCATTATCTAGACTGAGCTAGCATAACAGTGTTTCTCATTATCTAGACTGAGCTAGCATGACTGTTTCTCATTATCTAGACTGAGCTAGCATGACAGTGTTTCTCATTATCTAGACTCTGAGCTAGCATGACAGTGTTTCTCATTATCTAGACTCTGAGCTAGCATGACAGTGTTTCTCATTATCTAGACTCTGTGCTAGCATGACAGTGTTTCTCATTATCTAGACTAAGAGCTAGCATGACAGTGTTTCTCATTAATTTTGAGTTAAGATCACATCAAGCTCCGTGATATGTTAAGTCTCATCTAAGTGTGACTTTTTATCCAAACTCAACACTGAGCTCTCATTGGACGAGGGCCATAGGCACCACAGAGGATTTCCTGTGCTACGGCCTGATGTCACAGCATCTACAAAAATCAGCGTCACCTCCAACGCGCTGCCATCCCACGACATTGATAGGACCGAGTTGCATGATAGGAGGTGCGCACAACGTTGTGGCTTTTAAGAAAACCTAGGAATAGTCAATATTTGCTGGACGAACAATAGACTGTTTTGGATCCCAAAGGAGAAGCGGCCCCGCAACTCTGCCAACTTTAACCTGCAGAAGGCAGACCTAACTTCTTCAGAGGAAGAGGTCAAAACTCTCTCTCCAATCAAGTCGACATTTGCCAGTCGTAAGGACGAGAATCCCCTTAACTTCCGAGGAATCCCGCTGCAATACCGAGGTTTTATCGCTGCGCAGCTTGAAGCTCCGGACCCCGAGTTTAACCAAGAACCTCGAAAAACCACATCGACCGCTACGAAGTTATCTCAGAGTAAGGGGGTTATGTCTGGGCAGAGATAAGTCATAGTGTGTTTATTACCTCGTTTGTTTTGTTCCAAGTTTACTGTATTATTATAACGTGTTCTTGTGCGTGTTTACGGACTAAAAACTGTTGTGTTCCATACTGCTGCAATAGTGTTATGTTAGATCAGTCACCACAAGTAAGGTTGGGAAGCGTAGTATCGATAAAATCCTCACGATACCCGTCCCTACTTCCTGAGTTGGTTCCTGACTCGAACTCTAAACATGAACCTACTGCTCTAAAAGATAGTAAAGTTGTACGAGAAGGCCGGAGTCTGCAAAGACTGGAGGTAGTTCAATAATAAAAACACACTTTAGATTGTTGCACACCTTCATCAGTCTATCCAGAAAAACTGTTGTGTGAAAACTAGATTATATCTTTCTCATGGCCTCTGCTTGTATGAGTGGAAAAATAAAAGGATTCTGATGCTGCTGCACCAGAGTCTGGAGGACTTTTGGAGGCTTTAATAAAATACTTTAAAACTCAGCAGTAAAAGTATTATGGCTAGTAATAGTTTGTGTGTCTCACAGTCTAGCCTGTTAGTTTATACTGGTCTCACCTGGGAGTTCTGCTGAGCGGTCTCTTCGGTGAGGTCTCTCCGGCCCCCTTCCCTCCGTCCTCTGCCAGAACCTCGATGTCGTCGTCCCTGAGGATGAACCCAGAGTCAGTGAAGACATGACGTAGCTTTATTTCTGTCAAACTACATGAAAGTTCAGAGTACTGACGGCTCGATGGGAAGAGGCTCTTTGGCTGCGTCGGCCAGTTCCTTCTGCAGTTTGGCCTGTCTGCGTCTGAAACACCGACCAGAGGATCAACCAGAGGACCAACCAGAGGACCAACCAGAGGACCAACCAGCCCCCCCACTCTCCTCCAGGTGTCTCACCTGGTGTCCTTCTCGTTCTCTGCGTTCAGCTTGTTGGCCTCCTGAGCTTTCTCTGCCATCCAACGAGACACCAGCTCCTGGTTGTCGTCTGTGGTCTTCCTCAGCTTCTCCTCCAGAGCAGAGAAGGTGATCTGCAGGGCGTCATATTCATCCTTCAGGGTCTGGTTCGCCCTCTCCAGGTCCTGCAGGATCACAGGAAGTCATCAAAAAAAAAAAAGAAAACAGCATCTTATAAGCTGAAAAACATTAATGATCACGATCACAACCACAAAGCTCTCGACCCAATCGAAAGGAATCAGATCTGCTTCAAATAGATGTTTACATATAAAAAGGTCTCAGGTTGAAAACTGGAGATCATCTCCCTCCTCCTCCTCAGCCTCACGCTCCTCACTGATAGGTTCTGTTAGATGACATCATCACACCGAGTCTGTAGGGTCTCTGTACCGACTCGCACTGTGATGTCACATCCTGTCTGTCTGTCAGCAGCTCCTGGGACCACCCTGCACCACTAGAGCATGATGGGAGAACAGAGCAGGAGCTGCTGGGAACTAGAGGGCAGCAGGAGAGGATTGTGGGTAATCAGACCTTTTACTGCTCATCACTGACCTTCATCATGTCTCCAAACACTGTTGAAATCTTAAGTAAGGCACTGAGCATTAAGGAAGCATTGAAGTAGCTCTCATCATGACTAGGTCCCGTTAGGAACCTTGTTATGAGAGGAACACCTGAGTCCGTCAGGTCCAGGTGAGGGTTTACCTGAAGGCAGCTCCTCAGTTCCCGACAGTCTCCCTCCAGGGTGGTTATCTGCTGCTGGTACTCCAACATCCTGCAAACACAAAAGGAGACACATGATGGGAGCTCAGGTCCACAGCTGGGGCCGGCTCAGGTCCACAGCTGGAGGTTGTACACGAGGGCAAAGGGCAAAACTGCCCCTAAGAAATATAATTTTGCCCCCGATATCACTAGGAGAGGGGCAAAAAATGCCCCCATAATTTCCGCTAATAATAATGATAATTTAATGAACTAGTCAAAAACATCGTACCCTATATGACCCGGTCCAGTTGCCATAGAATGGTTTTGATTTTCGCCTTGACTGATGTTGCGTGTGCGTGAAGAACCGAACGTTCTAAACGAATAAATAAATGGAGCGCTCCTTCATCAGACCTGTGACTGCGAGACTGCGGTCAACTCAGCAGACACTTGAATCTTAGTGCACCTATATGCTGAAATTCACGGTAAACACATTCAAACGGCACAGATCTGGAGCGAGCAAAGGACTTTGAAAGTTAGCGGAAAGATTAACGTGAGACAACATCCGGTTTCTTCAGACGAACATCCGGTTTTCAGAATAAGATGCCAACAAAGTATACATATTGCATAATGGAAATTAGATTAAATGAATTATATTCACATTAAGTATAAAACATGCTACCTGCATCTCGTGAGTTAAAGGGAAAATACAGCTAAATTGTGCGTTAAGTGTCTTTATTCTTTGATTTGAGGGTTGCTGGAAATGAATAATACCTGACTGACAGTCAATTAAGATATTTTACTAAGCAAAAACTCTGAACTGAATTTGTACCTTCAAATGGCACATTTTTAGGGCCCGAGCAACCGACAACGTCGGGCCAGCGAAGGCCCTATTGAAACTGTAGTTGTTATTATTTATCAAATTTATTTTACGTAAAGGAACGCATTTTTGGGATACTTGCCATGCATGACAACTCACAAAAATTTTGGACACTTGTCAGGTCTGGTGAAAATTTTCATCTGAAGAAGGATGCATCCTTCTGTGTAAAAAAAATGGCTCTCGAGAGCCCCCTACAAGTCGGACCTGCGACGCCCCTCGGCCAGTATGTCCGATTTACTTGAAATTCGACACACATGTCCCAATCCGCTAGATCTACAAAAAAGCCTCTCAGACCCCTAAGCTCCGCCTACTTAGATTTTCCGCCATATTGAATTTAGTGAAAAACACATTTTTGCAAGCTGCTCCTATATGCTGGGTCCGATTGCTACCAAATTGGCTGTGGATAATTATTCGATCTCGATCATCAAGAATTATCAAAAGCGTTTTGATATCTCTTAGCGTTTAGAAGATATGGACCAACAAACTTCTTAGGGGCATGGCTTAATATCAATACACAACTTCTCAACCGTTTGTCCTAAAATTACAAAATTTGCAGCATATGTGCACATCGCATGCTGTAACACCCTGCTGTAATACCCTGAGATTTGTTTTGCATTCAACCACTAGGGGGCGCTACAGTAAACCCGCGAAGTTGTGCTTTTTGTCACTTTTTGCAGATTTCAGCCTTCGCACTTCAACTAACTCCTACAGATTTTAACCAATCAACTTCTCCTTTGGTCAGGATGCTCTTAAGACCTTTGTGATTAAAAGTTATCAAAATCGAGAGTTTTCATCGAAGAACCTTGATGTGGCGTGGCGGCCATTTTGCCTGATTGTTTTTGAAAAAATAAGTTCTTATAAGTTGTTATAACTCCAAGGTACATTATCCAATCCGCACAAAACTTCTTATGCATGATGCTACTTCAAGCTTGAACATATTTCAATTGAAAAAATTTCAATAACTCATAGCGCCGCCTACTGGCTAAAGGAAATGTCATATTTTATACTTTTCTTTATTCCTCCTAGCCAGGTGACCTGATGAGTCTCAAATTTGGTACGGATAGCCTTAAGACATTGATGATGCAGTATCATGAATATTGTGCATTTTGGATTAACGCTGTTGCCATGGCAACGCATCGTTCACCATGAAAAAGGAAGCTGATGGTTTAGTGACTTGGCATGCTCAAAAACTCATAGAACTTTGTACATGTGTCATAGGTCATTGGAAGAAATATTCTATATGATTTTTTTAATCATCAGTTTTAAATTGCCTCTATAGCGCCCCCTACAAGATTTCAAAAAGAGTAGCCCAGCGCTACGTTTGAGCTACATGTATGAAACTTGATAGGCACATGTATCCTATGGAGACTTAAATATAAGTCTCTTGGGACCATGCTCTAAACCCTACCGGAAGTCGTCCAGTTTCATTTATGTGTCATTTTTCAATAGATTTTGGCCTATTTCTAGTTGCTGTACTTTAACGAACTCCTCCTAGGGACTTCATCAGATCCACTTTAAATTTTGTCAGTACCATGTTAAGACCGTTGTGATTAAAAGTTATCAAAAGCTTTACGTTTGACGGAATCGTTTAGCCGTAGCGGGCGGCTACTTTACGTGATTCCCCATGAAAAAAACTGATGTGACTCAGCAGGACTTGTTCCAAACAGTCTCAAACTTCACATGCTTGATAACACTCATGGCCTGAGGATGTCTACAAGCTAATTTCCCCTAATACTCACAGCGCCACCTGCTGGCGAAAGGAAATCTGAATTTTGTGATAAACACCTCCGACTTACATGACTTTTACACAATGTGGTTTACATTTGACACATGATGCATGTTTGCACACATTCTGTAGTGCCAGGCAGAGGATACAGGAAGCATCGGACTATTTGCAAAGCATCATTTCCAGCATCAGGCGGTCCACGCGGGATTAAATCCGTCTCACTCGCGGACGCGCCATCAGACGGTCGCGGACGTTCCGCGCAGGCCGGAGTCCCGCCGGCACCCCTGACGCACTGCAGATTGCGAGGGCCCGTTCATCGCTGCTCGCAGCTTTAATTTAAATTTTTACGGTGCTATAAAAATGTTTTTCTCAAAAATTCCACACAATGACTGTAGATGACTATCAGCAATTTTCCTTTAGTCACCAAGAGGCTAAGTGGGGGAGATTTAAACTTGCTGACGCGTTGGCTGTAACGTTAAATGATTTCCGGAATCCAGTGGATGAGTTTGGAGCGTTTATTTTGTGGGCAACAAATAAATGTTGATTCCAGATAACATACAATTATAACTCAAATAATGACAGTATTAATGTGAATAACGTGAAAAATAATGTGAAATAACGCTCAACAAAAAATAAGGCTCCCTCTCTCACCCCCTCTCCTTCCAATCCTTTTCCTAGTCTAACTCAACTGACGGCTGATGACCCCATTGTGGCTATCCCCAGCACCACGTGACTCAAGCACCGAAAGTGACAAAAAAGGGCATACAAAACAACACAGGCCACACCTGGCTCCTACATTGACTAATGCATAATATGTTCAGGACAAAAATGGGTAATATCACAATATTTGAGGTGCTACAAAAATATTTTTCTCAGTAATTCCATACAATGACTGAAAATGTAATAACAACAATAAATAACCACAAAGAAATAAGAATACAATTGAATATGATTGTCTGATTTATGTTTGTTTTTTGTTCAAAAAAATCTAAGAAAACACTTTGAATCTGTAGACTACTGCTAATAGTCTTATTATTCATATAACTAATTCAACTATCGTTCCAACGGTAAAGAAAGACGAAGGAGCTATAGAAGTAGGTAACAACATAATTTAGGATTATGATAACTATGACAGCTATGACCCAGAGGGGGGACTGAACGGAACGGTAGATGATGTAGAAGACTCAGGGAGCCAATTCAGGCCAATGCAGAGAAGTGTTAGAATAACAGAAGATAAAGACTGGGAGCATGCTAATCAGAATGGGTGGTATAAGTGGGCATGGTACTCAGTAAAAGAGATGACCTCCATTGAATGCATAATGTGTTCAGAAGCTCCAACAACATTGCCTATAGTGGTCCCAGAAAAACACACTTTCAAAGAGTGCGCAAAGACACAACAGCATGAATGTAGAGAGGGAAGATTCGTCCCCAGAGAAGTGTTGGCTTCAATCTTCAGACTCCCCATGTGTGGCTTTCAATGTAGACTCTTGTATGGATCCCAAAAGAAACAACTACTTAGATCTGTATCCTGACTATCAACTACGAAATGCATGTGCAGAATTTATGATTTACACAACACAGAATGAGCCTCCCACTAATTATAAAGTAGATCAGTTGGAAGAGTATGAATGTTTTGCCAGTGGTGGATTTGCATCAGACAAGAAAGGGGTTAACGTAGGTAATACTACCGTGTACTGTAAAGTAACTTGGGTGGTGTCCTGGTTCCCACAAGCTAACATTACTTCTTCGTTCATCAGGAGACCAGTATGGTATGAAAACCCAATACCACTTGACCAAAGTTGTGAAAACATAACTATGACCATTCCCACTCTTCATTTGTTGAGTGAACAAACAGGTATAGACGACAGCTATTGGATGTATGGTGAAAATGTTTTACTGAATATTCTGCTGCGCACGTTGGTTCGAATGAGGTTACCGGTAGTGGTGATATATAACGGGGCAGGGGAAACAATTAAAATGACGGAAGTGCCCGATGGGAAGCGTAGGTATAAGAGACAATCCACGCTGGACCAAAGTATCCAGTTAGACGCTTTCGGACAGCCTAGAGGGACTCCAAAGGAGTTCAAAGCACAAGATGAGGTTAAGGCAGGATTCGAATCTATATTACCATTAACAAAAACATTGACTGGATCAATTATATCTACTACAATCAGCAGAAGTTCATGAATTACATTGATGAGGCCTTTAAGGGGTTGGGTGAGCAGCTACACCAGACCAGTACAATGGCATGGCAAAACAGGCAAGCATTAGATTGGAGTCTAGCTGAAAATGGTGGGGTATGTGAAATGTTTGGGAAACATTGTTGTACATTCATTCCCAATAACACTGCACCTGATGGGACATTCTCTGTTGCAACGGGGAAAATTTGAGGTTTGAGACAGGAAGTTAAGGACAATGCTGGCAAGAGGGGGTGGTCATGGGATTGGTTAGACCAAATTTTGGGAAAATGGGGGTCCGTATTGGTAAAAGCAGGCATTAGCGCATTAATAGTTTTAATTGTGGCTTTTCTATAGGCATGTTGCATCGTACCCATCTTGAGGAGACAGTGCCAGAGGAGCATGGACAAACAGATGGGTGTCATGGCAAATCTCCAAC